TGCAGTTTGCATGTCCAGCACAAAGAGCACAGCACTGGAATCCAAAAGGTCAGCGTGGTCCTTGCACATCACCCCTGCTTTGCTCTTGCTTCAGGGTGAGCCTCCAGCTAATGTGTCATTCAGGACAGAGCTGATGGAGTGCTCCTGACAGAGCAGAGGATGGAGAAACTTGCCCTGTCAGGAGCCCTAAGTCACTTTTCAAAGAGCTGGCAGCATGTGAGAAGTTCCAGGACAGAGATTCCTGACAGGAAGAAGCTCTTTGCAAGATAGATCTGTGGAGAGCATGGGATAGGTGGAAGGCAAACACTTTTGAGAGCAGGAGGGCTCAGGGCAGGTGAGAGCTGGGACAGCTCAACATACCCCACCATGGGGTACCAGGACCTTGGACCAGCAAAGTGTTGGATGCTCCTCCTAATGTCCCTCCACACACACATCAGGAGTTGCCTAAGAGCCAGGGCTGGTTACTCTGTCACTGTTCCAGTGAGACTAAACCTTGTTGCTTGCTCTGCCCTAGCACCTGCCTTGGCTGGTAATGACCTGGCACAGTGCAGTGGGTACCTGTGGGACACTCTGCACACAGAGAGGAGGATCAGCTCTGGGAAACTGCTCGAGCTGTGTCCCAGCTGTGTCCCAGCCCTTGCCCACACCTCCTGCTCACTTCTGCCCAGTGCCAGGTCACCACACTCCTCGGGCACTGCTCCCACCTCACAGCAGGTTGGGCACAGTCCCTGCCCAGAGGGGCCTGGGAGAGTCCCTGCCCACTGCAGTTGGCTCCACAGATTGGGACCTTGTTAGCTGGCACAAACCCTGCCCACATCTCCCCCAGAGCTGCTGCCACCAGAGCCGTGGAGTGCCCAGCTCCACGGCTGGGGCAGGGGAGTCTTCCTTGGCTGGGCAGGGGGAGTTCCCATCCTGCAGCAGCACCCAGTGCTATCTGCACAGACACAGGCTGAGCCTTATCTCAGTACTTTGCTGCCGGGTCAGTTCAGACACTTCCTCTGCAATGGAGTGGGGCAAGGGAGACACTCTGTTCTGTAATGTTCTGCTCTCTTTCCAGTAGGTCAAAGTCACAATCTGCTTGGAGCTGCCTGACACCTGCTGAGTGCTGGGCTTGGAGAGACCAGGGGAGAAAAGGAGAGCAGCTGCAGCACCAGAGCAGGTGTTGGTGGATGCTGAGATGAGGCACCTTTGCAGCAGAAGCCTTGGAACCCTCCAGAGGTTGCTCCTGGAGGCCAACAGGAAGGCAAATGTACCTTGGCCCCAGAGCTGATGAGTTTGTCTGCAGTCAGGGATGCCAGAGAGGAGCAGGACCAGATTGTGGCAGGCCATAAACAGCTGTAAGGGCAAGACAGCAAGTTACAAACACAAGATAAATTATCAGTGTTTTCTGTTGAGGTTTTCCTGCTGTGCTGCTGCTCAGCCCTGATTAAAACTTGTATTTTTAAACACTATGATTTAAAAAACAACCATGGGTGAAGCTCTGTGGAGAGCTGTGCCTGGTGGGCCTAGCTGGGTCATGGACAGCTGGTGTCTTCATCTCTGTCCCATGCCCCACTGCACAGCCCAACATCAGCCCAACATCAGCCAAAACATCCTCATCTCTGTCCCCTATTCCCACCTGCCACCCACCCATCCTGTCCCCACTGCACAGCCCCAGCCCAGCCCAACATCAGCCAAGGCATCCACTTGCCCACAGGTGTTTTTCTGCTCCAGGAAGGGTGGAGTTGTACTGGTTTAAAAATGACTGATCACTCCTGGCAGTTAAGTGGTTGCATTTCCTCACTTTGGACTCTTCTGCTGCATAGCCGCAGGCAATCATTTTTACAGAGGATCATCCCAGTCCTCGACCTGGCAGGATGCTTCTGGCCCCAGGAACAGCCAGCAGGGTCCCCTCTGGCTTGGGCTGACACCAAACCCCTCAGGCCTGGCCCCTCACAGTGCCCAAAGAATCATCTCAGGCACACTGGGTGTCAGTTCATTGACACGAGGTGGTGGTAATGGTGAGTCTCTGCAGTGCATCTCTTGTCTTGAAGGAAAACAAGAACATGAAAGAGAAAGTTTCAGGATAGTCTCCTCTAGAACACATGAATGACCTTAAGTGGCATCTTCTACCCTGTAACCACATCTCCACTGAGCAGACACGTCCCCAGGAGGGAGGGAGCTGCGTGGTGCTCTCACATCCCCACTCAGTGTGCCATGGCCAGTCATGGGCAGCATGGCCAATGCCACCAAGGCCCTGAGACTCCTCCAGAGACCTGTATGGAGCCTCCAGCCAAGGGTCCCCTGTGCAGGACCCATCAAATGCCTCCTGTGAGCTCATCAAAGCTGTTTTGCAGCCTCTGGGGCTGTGCCAGCTGTGTGCCCCCACATCCTGTGCATCACCTCCTCCTCCCTGACTGTTATCTACAAGAATATTAAGTGGTTTGGGGCAGTGAGCTGTTTTGGAGCAGGTGGATGTGATCTGTGCTGCAGACAAGCTGAGGGGGAAATGTGAAATCACACCCTGAAAACACCCTTGGGCACCTCTCCTGCTCAGCATTCCCGAGGTGTTGGGGCCGTGGTGCACCAGGCTCTGTCTGCCCTGGCCTTTCTGCCTGGCACTATCTCTCACCAGCCACAGCCACAGAGCACGTGGGCACCGGGCAGGACAGGGCAGCAGTGATGCCCACAGACCTGCAGGGACACTGTCCTGCTCCGATTAGCACAATCAGCACATCACACATGGTTTCCTGGCCGCTGGGCATGGCTGGTCCCAGGGTATAAAACCAGCCCCTGGGCACGAGGAAACTCAGACTTCCACAAACCTTGGGAGGAGTGTCCAGCTGTGGGAGAGATGTGCCAGCCCCAGCCACTGCTGAGCCTACTGCTCCTGCTCTCCTGCCAATGGGCCAGTGCCAGTAAGCTGGGGTGCCATGAGCTGCTGCTGGTCTGGGCCGTCAGCACAGCAGCTCATCCTGCTCTGGGCTGTTTTGCAGGTGCTCTGCGGGGGCAGATTGTGGGGGGCCATGAGGCTCAGCCCCACTCCCACCCCTACATGGCATACCTGAAGTTAGGGTCATCAGCCTGTGGGGGCTTCCTGGTGGCCCCTGACTGGGTGATGACAGCTGCTCACTGCACAGGGTGAGTACTTCATTCACAGGCTTTATCCCCTTCTTTCTCCCTGATTTGTGAGGTCCATCACTGGAGCAATTTTGGAGTAGGCTCCTCTTCCTCCTGTGCCGTGAAGCTTTCTCCACCTGCTACCAAAGGGGAGGGAGATGGGTGACACCCAACCTGATTCCTCCTTCTCCACTGCCATGGGCAGGAATATCACAGTCATCCTGGGGGCTCATGATGTCCACAAACCAGAGAAGAGTCAGCAGGTCCGGGGAGTCCTCCAATACTACAAGCACCCTGAATACAACCCCGAATCTGTGTCCAACGACATCATGCTGCTCAAGGCAAGATGGTTCTGTGGGGGCAGGGGTGGAGTGGGGCTGAGGGTCTGGCAGGGCCTGGGCAGAGCACACCTTGCCCTTAGCTCCTTCTGCCCAAAGTGCCGGAGGCAGGCAAGACTGGGAGGGAACAGAGCTTGGAGCCACATGGCACCTTCTCACCACTTCACTAGAGCCTGCAGTGCTGTGTGTCCTGCCAGACCTCCCCTACCTCTGCGCAGAGTCCCCTTCAGCTGCTCTGCTCACAGCCTTCTCCAACCCTCCTCTCTGCCAGCTGACATCAAAGGCTGTTCTCAACGACTATGTCAAGACCATCCCACTGCCCGAGACTGGCAGTGACCTCCCAACAGGCACCAAGTGCAGCATTGCTGGCTGGGGCATGATCGATAACGACCAGGCGACCGACAAGCTCTTTGAAACCAAAGTCTCCATCTACAGCCGCAGGAAGTGCATCCTCTTCTACCCACACCTGGACACTGGCATGGTCTGCGCCGGGAGCTTCCACGAGCTGAAGGATTCCAGCCAGGTATGGGCTGCCAAGGGCTGGGCTGGAGGGCAAGCAGATCTCCAGGAGCAGGAACTGCTGCTGGCACAGATGGAACTGGTTCCCAGAGCTGGTGACAAGTATTTGACCTGTAGCTCCCACAGGGACCAGTTCTGGGTGTGCTGACACCACAGTCCCTGCACAGTACTGGGGTAGAGCCCTAACACACCAGGCTCAGAGAGCTTCTCCAGGAGGAGGTGGAATGTGGGGCAGGGAAGAGGCCTCTAAAATCAGTCTCATCTGTCCCCAGGGAGATTCTGGAGGGCCCTTGGTATGCAATAAAGTGGCTCAAGGCATCGTTTCCTTTGGGCATGACACCCCACCCGGGGTCTACACCCGCATCTCCAATTACCTGCCCTGGATCAAAAAGGTCCTGAAGAAGTAGCAGCAGTGGTGGCACTTGCTCCAGCTCTGGTGTGACCCTGGAGCCTTCCATGGCTTCCTTCGTGCCCCTGCTGAAGCTTAATTCCCTCCTCTCTCCTTGGGGACCCAAGTGACTTATCTGTGCACACAGGGGCCCCTTGGTTCTGTTCTGAGGCTGCTGGGTGGGCTGTCCCACTCCCTGTCCTTCTCAGGCAGCTGCTTCAGGGCCACGTTAAATCACCCTGGCAGCAGCAGGGATAGTCCCAGATGGCACAGAAGGAGGCTGTGCCACAACAGACCTCATTTCCTTCAGAGACAACCCTGTCCCTGCTTGACTCTTGCTGCACTTAAAGCACCTACAGTAAACTGCATTTCCCAGCGTGTGTCGTCTTTCTTGTGCCCTTGCCCCAGAGACAGGGAGGGTCTGGCTGCTGCAAGAGCCTGGTCTGTTGGGACAGCAGCACTCACAGCTCTGCACCCTGAGTCAGCCCTGGCAGGCTCAGAGAGCTCTTTGTGGGGATTGTGGGTGTGCTGCAAGGAGAAAAACGACCCAGTTCGAAATGGGGTGGGGAAAGTGAGGGGCACATGCTCCATTCACCAACCTCAGCATCATTAGCACCTTCCTGGGAGCAGCTGACAACCAGGACCTGGTGCATCAGCAAGTCTCAGGACTCAGGAACTGCCATTCTCTGCAGGGTAAAACTGTTCCCTCTGCAGAGACCTTTGCCTGGGAGATGTTTCACCCCAGGACACAGCACAGCCAAACACCAGGCTGGGCCACAGGGTGAACGGGGCTTATCCTCCAGCTGTCTTAGCTGTAAGAGACTTCACTAGGTGAAGGGAGGTGGATGTTGTGTGGACTGTGCCCTTGGGCATAGGGCAGGAGGCTGTTTAGATGCCAGGGCCGAGGCTTTAGGATCCCAGAGAGGAGGTTTGCTCAAAGCCCCAGCTGGTGCATACCAGTGCTCCCAGTCTCTGCTTCTGCCATCTGCCAGCAGCCACAGTCCTTCATCCCCCGTTGCTACAGGATGTCTTGGGCAGAGACATTGCATGGTACAGCAGCTGAAATGATAGAACAGAAAGGGCTGAAAAGGACCAGGGTTCACAGAAGAGCCTGACTCCAGGACACTCCCCACCTTCCTCCTACAGGGCAGAGCCCACCCTGGACCCTGGAGAGGGTGAGCCCCAGCTTGGGGCTGTCTTGGCATGTTTCCATCCCTCTCAGCAGAGGATGCTCTAGCAGCAGCCCAAACCCAAAGGCTTATTGCTCTCCCCTCAGGAGGATGATGCTCAGACACGAGCTCCCCATGACGAAGGATGCTCAAGCACTGTTTTCAGACAGACCCTGCACTGGAGTCTGAACCTCCTTCCATGGCCCAGCTGAAAAGCAACCTGCTCTCTGAGCCCTGGGCTCCTTTGTTCCAGCCAGTCCCCCTGGCATCTCTCATACACAGAGAGCCAGAGCTCCCTGGAGGAGATGATGGACAGAGAAAACACATTGGTAAATAACTGAGCTGCAGAATGCCCTGGCACAGGATGATGGATATCTGTGCAAGTTCAAGGGAAAACTCAGCTGGTTTGCTGTGGGGAAAACCAGTGCAGAATTTGAATCATTCAGAAACTGCTGGCAATTCAAGGGAAGGGGATGCTTGCCCTGCTCTCATGGCATTTCCAAGTCTCCCACTAGCCACCTCCACCAGAGGGAAGAGATGGCCTGCAGTTCACCCTGGATATTTGCTCCTGTGTCCTTCGTGTTCTTGCCTAGGACGAAGGGAAACTTCGTCACCTTTGCCTTCGGCACCCACCGGGAAGGGTCCATGTTTGGGCTTCTGCTCACAGCTGCTATCAGCTAGGAAATCTGCAAGTGAACAGGCTGCAGCTGCTTATCTGTGCAAGAGAAAACTTTGTCACGTCAGGGTTTTCCTTGAAGCTCCAGCTGCTGCAGTCTTTGCACGAGAATGGCAACTTCTAGCTTAAAAACGGGGCTTACCCTGTGGCACTGGAGGCAGAGGAAAGCAAATTTACTGGCAGTCAGTGAGGTCAGAAAGGATGTGTATGTCTGTCCCATTTCATCACAGCTGAACTGTGAATGTTCAGACCTTGCTCTTATCACAGAATCAGAGAATGGTTTGGGTTGGAAAGGCCCTTAGGGATCATCTCATTCCACCCCCTGCCATGGGTAGGGACAATTCCCACCAGCCCAAGCTGCTCCAGGCCCTGTCAAACCTGGCTTGGAACACTCCTGGGGCATCAGTGCCATGTTATAAACACATCTGCACCAATTTTTCTACATTAGCCAAGGCTGCACCTACTGAGAGAGAGCAGAAGGATCTCCAGCTGTCACTGTGTGGTCTTTGGAACTGATGTATCAAGTGAAAAAAACTTGTTCTCATAGGGCTCGTGAAAAAAATCAAGAGTTTGCAAGTGCACAACAACAAATAGGAGCTGTGAAGGAAGAGCCACTGGAAGTCAAAGAGATGAGGATGGGTATGTTCCCCACAGCTCCCAGCACAAAGGCAGTGGACTAAAATGGTCTCTGGGTTTAGAAGAACAGATACCCCAGATCAGGCCCAAGATGAAGGTGGACTGATGCCCAAGGCTCAGACTGACCAAATTCCCCTCTCAGAATGCTGAGGCATGCAGCTTGTGGGGAGATTCACCAGATGAGTCTGACTGCTGTGGTTTCCTGAAGCCTGGTCTCAGGCTATAAAACCTTGCTGGGAGCAGGAAGAGACTCCAGCTGCAGCCTCACCTCCAGGGGATCTGCTGAAGCCCAGAGCACTGTGATGGAGCATCTGCAGACACTTCTGCTGCCCCTCCTGCTGGTGATGTGCCCCTCGGCCAACACGAGTAAGTAGAGGGGGCTGGAGGTGAGAGGAGGGCTGGGGAAGGGTGAGCCCCAGACAGAGCATCCTGTGCCATCTGAGCCCCACATCCTCACTCCCATCCACTGCAGAGCCTTCTTGGAACCAGAGGCAGGGAAGAGGTGAAGCCAAGACACACTCCACACCCTACATGGCCTATCTGCAAGGAAAGAACAACCACTTCTGCGGAGGGTTCCTGGTGGCCCCGAACTGGGTGATGACAGCAGCTCAGTGCTTTGAGTAAGTGTTTGCTGTGGTCATACAGCACGAGGTGCAATGGGATGATCACACTGCCAGGGTCCAGGTAATGTCTCCCACAGAGCTCTAAGAGTTGGAGTCGCTTCCTACTTGGCCATTCCTACCCTTTCCCTGTGCTGCAGGGCATGGCAGGGATTTGCTGCCAGGCTTTGCTCTTTCTGCCACCAAAGACCATTGAAAGCAGAACTACCTCCTTTGAGTGAGCTGCTTGCCAGCCCTTTTCCATCCCTCCAGCTGAAGAACCTGGGCATGGGCAGGTTCTGCCCAGTTCTCCCTAGGCAGCCCCTTCTGCAGGTGATGTAGAGGCCAGTAAAGGTACAAAAAGGGTCCTGACTTAGAAATCCCTGGACTTCCATGATGCCTGGACCAACAGTCCACATATCTTAGTACACAACAGCAGCGTTGGACCAAATCTGCCCAGAGATACAGAGGTAAAGAAGCTCTTGCAGGGCTCTGGTCTGTCAGATGGGAACTTGCTCTGCCTCTTGGCTGGGCAGATTGACTGGCAGAGCTCCTTGCTCCCACCATTCTTCTGAAAAAATGCATATATAATGCTTTCCGTGTACAGAAAGAATATACTGTAAGCACTATATATGTGTCCTATGGTTGTATGTAGAGCACTCGTGTGAGTAGCATCAGCATAGATACACTTTGTGTATCGAGAGCATGGAGAGAGAGATGGATATGCTATACATAATGTATAGAGTATAGAAACACGTCTGGTCTCTCCTGGCCATGCCCTACGAGATGAGCCTCAGAGTTCCCAGGGAAGACAGGGAAAAGCTAATGAGACACACTGTGCTTCACTTCACCAGCCACAAACCTCTGACTGTCATCCTGGGAGCTCACACCATCCAGAGGAGAGAGGAAAGCTGGCAAACGTTCCAAGTCAAGGAGTACCACTGCCACCCAGAATTTACCAGTCCTAAGAAGGGAAATGACATCCTCTTGCTGAAGGTAACTACCTGCCTGGAGCACCTGCAGGTCCTGTCTGCCTGACATGCTGAGCTGCAGCTCTGGGCTGGGAGGAACAGCCTTTGTCACAGCAATTTACAGGCTGAGCACTCATTTCTGTGTTTTCTGTCCCCTTGCCCAGCTGAATGGCACTGCCACCAGCAACAGCTTCGTCAGCACCATTTCCTTTGAGAGATCTAAAGTCCATGGGGGCACTGTGTGCAGCATAGCAGGCTGGAGGGACAAGGCACCTGCTGCCACCTTCCACGAGGACACTGTCACCATCGTCAAGCGCAGGGATTGCCTCAGCCAGTACCTTGGGCTGGCTGACAACCTGATCTGTGGCCGCAGCAGAGCTGCTGGGATACCTACAAAGGTCAGTCTGACTTCAGGAGGAGGAGGCTGTGGGGAGGTTTCAGCCAGGTGCTGAGCACAAACCTGACCAGAGCTGAAAAGCTTCACTGAAAAGGTCCTGTCTGAAACCATCTTGTGGTGCCCTCACCACTCCTCCCCCCTCAGTCCATGCTTCACCACCAGCATCTATCTATCTCTCTGGCTGCCCTGCACAATAAGTGCCCTGGGTGTTCATCAGACCCCTGGTGAGGATCAGACCCTGGGGACCAGCAGCATGCAGGTCTGACTGCAGGCACCACACCTGTACTCAGCCCTGGGCAAAGCAAAAAGGACAAGAGGGTCCCTGTCTCCCCATGGCAGGGAAATGGGAGCCTGCAGCAGCACGGTGGGACAGCAGCTTGGGGTGTGCACTTCATCTTGTAGCTGGACCTGCAGCCAGCAAAAGGGCAGAAATGAAGCATCAGTGCTCGCCCAGCTGTAATTGTGCTGGGCCCCAAAGCTGTCAGAGGTCCCATGTGGACACAGAGCTATGCCCATCCACTGCAAGTCCGGGCTTTCCTGGGGAAGCTCTGTCCTGACACCTGCAGCCTCCCTGTTCCTTGCAAACACCCTTTCCCTGGGGACCCAACATCAACCAGCACTGATCCCTCTCCTCCTCCATTCCACAGGGTGATGCTGGGGATCCACTGGTCTGTAACAACAAAGCCTACGGCATCTTCTCCTACAGACACAACAGCTTGCCTGGACTCTACACACACATTTATCCTTACCTTTCCTGGATCAACAGTGTCATGAAGTCAGCATGACCCTGCAGCTGCTGCCCTGGAGAACTCACACTCCAGGGCCTCATCCTCATTGGCTTTCTTTTCCTTTCTCCCTGAGAAACACCTTCCACTGATCCTCATGGATGCAGCAAGGATTTCTCCCTGGCAAAGCCATACTGGGGGCTTGGCACAGAGATTATGCCTCAACTGCATTTATCCCCTGTGCAAACTGCAGAGTGCCTGATCACACAGTGCTCACTCAGAAACTTGCTGCCTCCTTTTTCCCCCCTTCTGTAGCTCCAGTGTTGTAAGAACACATAAAACCAATAAACTTAAATCTGTGTTTGAAATCCTTTTTTACTTCTGTGATTTGGATTTCTCTTGGCCACTGGCTCCAGTCCTGAACAGATCAGAAGAAAGTCACTGCTCAAACAGTTGAATCCCAAGCTCGAAGTTTCTGCCCTAACCGTTTTCTGTCCTACATAAACCCCCAGAACTGGTGTCAGGCCTGGATTTCAGGGCAAGGGCTCTCCTCACATGCAGTTGGGAACACACACACTGCCCCAGGTCCCTCCAAGATGGTACTTTGGGGGATTTCCTCCCTCTATCACACAGCACAGAGGAGCACACGGTGAGTCAAAGTTATCCCACCTCTGCCTGGCTGCCAGTCGACAGCAAAACAGCAAATGCAGGTCCTATCAGACTCGTTCCTTCTCCCTCGGTGCTGTGTTGGTTTTGCTGTTGATTGGAAGGACAGTTTTATCCTCCTCTAACAGCAAACACAGGCAAGAACAGCAGCACTGAGCCAACTCCACATCTGGGGAGTGTTTGCCTTTCTTTATGTTCACCTCCGCCTAAGGATGACTTGTCAGATACCATTGCCATATCTGCAGCAACACAGGGTACAAAACATTAGACCAAAGAATGGAAGACTCCAAATCTGTCTAGAAGTCCCCAGGTCACTCATCTGACTAAGAAAAGCCACAACTGAGCCAAGTTCTCAGTGGGTTTTGCTGTGGGTGATGTTGGACAGCACCTCTAGCAGATTTTTGCTGGGTTTTTTGTGCACAGAGTGCCCTCTTTGGGCTGGCAACAATGCGTGTTCTTCAAGATTCAGTTTCTGAATTGCTCAAAAAAACTTAGCTCTAAAGGATCCTCTCCAAAAAAGCACAAGATTGCAGTTTGGAAGTAAATTCATGGCTCAGCTGAGGAAAGCACCTTGTTCCCCGGGGCTCTTGACACCATTTAATCTGCTCTGAACCAGGGGCTGCAAAGCTGACATTGATCAGAGACTTCTTTTCCAATCAGGCTGCCAAATCCTTTCCAGAAGAATTCCAAGGGTGTTCTCACCCTGCTGCCTGGGAGAAGAGACCAATCCCCACCTGACTCTGACCTCCTGTCAGGGAGCTGCACAGCACCAGGAAAGCTGAAGTGAGAGAAGGGAGGCATTGTATTCCTGCTTTAAACATTTCATATGACACTTCACTCTCCTGCAGTTGGCTGGACAGATTCTTCCCTCACTTTCCTGAGAGGGCAAAGGTAATGCTCAAAGGAAAGAGTTTCCTCCTGCTACAAGGGTGAGAGTTGTCCAAGGACAAGGCAAATCCTAAATTCTCTTCTTTGCCCTTTTCTCCCACATGGGATTTTTTTTAATATGAAAACTGATTTCCTTAATGTCTGGCCCACACATGTACACAATCCCAAGGACCTGGCTATGTTTAAAGTGACTTGCAGAGCACACAGCAGCTGAGTCCTTGGGCCAGCACACTGCCCTGGCAGCTCTGACTGCTCTCTCCTGCAGTGTCCCAACAGAGCAGGCTGTGGGCCAAAGGAATTACCCAGGCAGCAGCAGATGTCTTCACCGAACAGTCCCTTTCCAGGTTCCCGGGACCTGTCCTTGCAGGATGGAGCACTGCATGTCAGAGGAGCTGAGGAGGGGGAGGAAAGGAGGAGCTCAGTGTCCTGCTGGAAACACTTCCCTCAGCCTGAGCTTTACGGGCCTTTGGGAAAGCAGCAACTGTGAGCTGGTTGTAAGGGCTGTTCCCCCAGTGGCTGCAGCCAGCTGCCTCCTTCCCTGGGCCACCCCAGAGAGCAGCAGGGACCAACCTCAGGCAGCCCCGGGCATGGCCAGGGCCAGCGTGGGCACCTTGGCAGCTGCAGGCTGGGAAAGGCCAAAACTGGGTCCCTCACAGCCAGCTGGGAGCACTGGGCACTCATTTTCAGACTTCTCCTCCTTCCTTCAAGAGTCTGAACCGGTTGCTGTGCTTAATTTAAACGGAGCAAATGACACTGTTCACACAGAACAGCACAACGCGCGACTGGCACAGAGAATCAGCATCTTATCAGAGAATTCAGGGGGGGGAATGGACCTTACAGATCATCCAGTCCAACCCCTGCCCTGGGCAGGGACACCTCCCACCAGAGCAGGTTGCTCAAGATTTC